AGATACTTAAAAATCTAACTTTCTTTATATATACTCCAAACCATTTATAGGTTTTGTAGTATATTGCTTTTGTAGCTATTCAGATATCGTCTCGATAAAATGGTCAGCGTAGCCCGGAGCGTTTTTGTATTTAGCTTACAATCGCGTCAGAGATGGAGTGGGGCTCAATGGGGAAACTCTATGACGGTAGGTGGAGTTACAGAACACACATTCGGAATAAACAATATTTTCTCTGATTTCGGTTTGTATACTCTAGTAGGCCCTCTAGGGTGGGAATTAGGAAACAAATCAATAATTAGCTTGGTCGAAGCCAATAAATTCTGAGCCGAAGAAATTAATAAACTTCGGTACACCTTTACAGAGCCATATGGTCAAATACAATTGTCAGAACTGTGTGATGGAATATGTGAATATTATATTCGTGGTCTGGTGCGGCATTGGCTTACCCCCATCCTCGCTTCTCGACCGGATTATGACGGATAACCTGGTCCTTCTCGGTATTTCGTACTCTGCACTAACCCATTCCGCGGCACTACACGGCGCAGACCCGATCCGTACCACAGAGGTGGGTACTCTACTTAGTAGGTCAGCAAGCAAATATATGGAACATTCGATAGTAACAGTATTTTGTCAACACCGGCCCGAATTGACTCAGCACATATCTTCCATTGTCGACTCACTTGGCCCAAGCTTCAAACGGGAATTTACTGACCACTTCTTCCCATCAATCTTTCCTGAACCACTACAGCGACTATGAGAGACATACAATATGTTCATACATTGTATCATACATACTTGCCATTTTTGAAATGAATATATTTATCCCTAAAGTAAACTTCGTACCACACAAATATATACCACAACGAATGAGAACTTTCGAAGTGGGTACGTGATGGGCACATAGGTGAAACTGCCACTACTATCGACAAGAGAGCACGACCAAACAGGTTGAAAAGGGTACGCACATGTTTGTCAGAGAGAGACCAATCACAAATATGCGCAAGACAGCTTTGTTCTGCCGAAAGTAAAACATATAACTATATTAACGTGCATAACTTGAGTTCCTGTATGCCAAGGGTTGGCTACCTTCAAGAGAAGGACTGTGCACCCGGACAGGTCACTCGAGGTTCGTACGGTGAAGCCCAAATGTCCAGCCCTTTTTACGAGGCCAAGTAGCTCATCAATGATCGAGTCAGGATATTCGGGAGCTTCAGTCTCATCAAGGTCACAGACAAAATACCCGTTGCCCTCCCTGCATACTATTTTGTATGGTCCGCCAGCTCATTTCACCTTGATAGCATTGGTATTTTCGATCGTATGCTGCGCGCATCTTCTCTTGATACTGTGCAACATTAATATCTAGTTGTGGCCTAATGGCTTCTTCTACATTTTGCAGTCGCTCTTCCCAAGATACTGTTGTACTGGGTGCGTTCACTGGCCCATTGTAGTCCGTGAGTTGATTCTGGCTGTGACCAAAGTACACATTAAATCGCGGTGACTTGTGTCTTCTGGATGTACGCAGATTATGGCCCCATCTGTACGAATGGAAGTCGTGAACACCAGTAACCTGAAATCTGTTCAACGAATTTTCGTAGCAGTGTCATGAGGTCTCTATGTGATCGTTCGTTCGCGCCTAAGACTTTAGGTTGATACGACCGAGAGACTAGGTGTTGCATTGGCGCTTGTTCAACAACTTTTGCAAGTATGTCGTTAACGTATTCAGTGCCTTGGTCAGTTTGTATGATTTGTGGGAATCCATGTTCACATATGATTGGGACCAGCGTGCGTGCTATGGTAGCCGCTGACTTGTTCATCATTTGACGTAAAATGACGTACAATGAATATACATCAAGCCATACTAACACATATGTGTGTCATCTATTTGAATCCAATAGTGACCCTATGGTGTCCGCTTGGACTCTGTCGCTTGGATATGCGGCTGTAATTGATTGTAAGGGGTGAAATCCCTTTTGTGTATCTTATTTTTGAGACATGGTATACATACGTCAATAAACTTGTGTACATGTTGTTGGATATCAGGCCAATCATGTCCATCTGTTTGCAACTTTTGTTCCGTTTCCTCCGGAGTGTAATGTCTCAAGTTATGGTATTGCTCAATGATGTTGACACGTGTCTCATATTCTGTTGCCTGTGGTGTATCTCCAGAGTGAACTGGTTCTGATGCTGCAACGTGTATAACAGGTCTTAGCTCCTATCTTTGCGACTAGTGTGACACCCCATGGGGTCTTGCCGCAAGCCTTCTGGCCCTCTTTAAGGAAAGTATTGTTTGTGTTTTCCACTAGCATCGGGTCTTCTTCTAGTAAAGACAAGAACGTTAGAAACCACGAGGCATTGTGATAATATGGTATATATATCGTGATGCTGGTTGCCTCTTCAATGACTTTGTCAAGGACATCAGGTATGAGTTCCCATGGTGGATTCGTCCATGCATTCACTTCCTGCGCCCACTTTTGTTGTAGCACATTCTGTCCTTTGGTGTAGTATTGATCTGTGTGTGCATTGTGTGCCGATGCAAACAGATCTACGGTGAACTTTCTAAATCTTCGTTCCGCTTCTTGATAGAATCTGGGATGTAACATCCAGTCTATAGCCGATTTGGTTATGGGCATGATCGTTTCCAAAGTGGTGTACTCTTGGGTATTATGTGTTGCCTCATTCGCTTTTTGTATTACTTTTGACTCTTTAGTACTAAAAGTATTTCATGGAGACGCGACAACATGTCTGCCATCCGGTTGTCCTTGCCTGGGACATGTATGATGGAGAAATGGTGGTGGAACGTTTTTGCTATCCATTTGGCTAGCATTGGGCGTAACGTCTGTTGACTGTTCATTTGCGTGAGCGCTTTGTGATCTGTCCACAGTGCTATGTCCCCTCATTTGATGTATTTGGAGATATGTTCCAGACTGTACACCAGTGCTAGTAGCTCTTTGGTATTTGTGCCATAGCGTTCTGATCGCCCAAGCGAGAACGCATGAGCTCTAACTCACTAATGTATAGACCTATTTGTATGAGCTGATCTTCCTCATCGTCACCACAGTCATTGATCGCTTGGTCATATCATCGTCTGAGCTCCGCATCCACTAGTGGTATGCGGCGCTCTGGCTGTTGATCGTGGATACCTACCCTCGTCTTGTGTAGAGTTGGTTTGGGTACCGGTGCTGTTTGCTCCAACTTGAACACAAACCGACTCACCGGAACATGATTGCCTTGACAGATATTCTTGTCTATTTCTAGACGCATTGCTGACGCTGCAATGGGTACCCCCGCTGGTGTAGGTTGGCCCGAACTATTGCCTGGGCTTGGCCCACCCATTGGGCTGACTCCCACGTCATTCGCGCCTTCACTCCCTTCTCCCCCACTGTACACGCCTGCTCTGGTTGCTGTTGGCATTTTCAGAGGACTGCGTTGGTGTGTGGGTGTTAATGGATTATTAATAAAGACTCTGGTTATGTTTTGTGCGCGCACAACACTTTTGTATGGACAGAAGTATAGTAACATAACTTTATCTGTCAGTCAGAGCACAACCGGGCTACAGACAATTAGCACAAACAGACGCGAGAATATAAGTAACAGGGTCACAAACCGAAGTATGTGACGTCAACTATAGTGGAAGAAAACCTTGCAGTGTTTCGAAGGTCGAGGCCTTTCGGTGCTCTGTTCCTTGGATAGTAGTTGGTATTATAATCTTGGGTGATTGCGTCTGGATGACATACCCAGTCTTAACTGGTTTCCGACGATTGTCATCCCAGTTGGATAAAGATGGCGGAGTATTTTTATCTGCCTCTGGGTCTATAATACCCTCGAGGACGGGCGACTCATGGCCGGGCGTTAGAACAGGCGAATAATTAGCCTGGAGTTCTGGTGGTAGTACCTCGTAAGGTATAGATACGCTGAGCACAACTGGCTCATCAAGAAAGAGAGTCTCTTGAGCGAGCCAGGTGTTACCCCTCTATTGCGTTGCACGCTCGAGGCGCGTAACCCTAGTGGTGAAGTGGCAACAGCTCGCGATCGCGCGGCTGTATTTCTTGCTGAGCAGCGGAGCGTCAATTTGACTACGCCGGTCGATGGTGGGAGTTCAGTTGCGTCAGATGATGCAGTAGCTCCAGTGCCTGCCGCTCTTGAAGGTAGAGGAGCTAACTGATAGCGACGGATCCTGAAACAACTGGTGGGCGGAAGCAAACATGGTTGACCTGGCCGACAGGTTGAAAGTATATACAGATGAAGAAACGTTGTCAATAAATGCGAATGATATAAATTACCAACCTCTATCCTTGCTTCCCGCACCACGGCCAAAGATTACACATTGATAGATTAATGGTATAGTATATACAGGGCACTTGTGGACTCAGGCGCACAACACTTTTATATGGACAGAAGTATAGTAACATAACTTTACCTGTCAGTCAGAGCACAACCGGGCTACAGACAATTAGCACAAACAGACGCGAGAATATAAGTAACAGGGTCACAAACCGAAGTATGTGACGTCAACTATAGTGAAAGAAAACCTTGCAGTGTTTCGAAGTTTTGGACCTACCAGACAAGAAGGTACCGATACTGCCAAGTGTGGATATTATTCCATACATGGATATATATATATATATATAAACACATACACACACACACACACACATACACACACACACACACACACACACACACACACACACACAACACC